GAAGCAGGGTGGAGGTCAGGTCCTGGGGAGAAATCCTAGCTGTGACTCCGCGGGGAACAGCCCTTGCCCTGCTCCTTGGCGTGGAAGGGAACTGCACAGAGGAAGGGAGGAGGGAAAAGAGAGAGATCAATGTCTAGGTTTGTTGTTCTGATTCCTTGAAAGGACAGTGTTTCTCAGGATCCAGATCCTGACTGGGTAGGGAATCCCCTGAATCAGTGACTCCTGGGAGAATCCGAGGCTGGCCCGTGAGGTAGCTCCCTGCTGGAGATCCCCTGTGGCTGAGGCGAGTGTGACAGTGGCACTGTTAACCCTCTCAGTCCTGGGCGGGCTGCCATCCTCCCCCAGGCTCTGCCTGCTGCACTCACAGGCTCTTTGCCCATGGCTGCCCCATGGTCTAGGTACCCCCTCCAGGGAGGCTCCTACCCGCATAGGGCCCAGAGCTCTCCTTGCTCATTCCTCACAAGGCTCCTTGCAGGCTCTGCTTTCCTTGGTCTGTCTGCACCCCTTCCCTGATGTGTGCCCTCCTGTAACGCAAAGGCGTGCATGTCAAGACCCCCCTCCTTTCCACTGAGAGGAGATGAGCAGGACAGCCATCGAGATGTGCGCCTGAAGACTTGCTCACCTGCTCCTCCCGATGTGACTGTGGGTGAGCTCACTGCGTGCCGTGCAGTGGGAAACGGACACTTACCTCATTAAAAAGCTAGAACAGTGCATCAGGGGCCATTTACGAACACCTTGTGCAGCTCCTGAAGTCTAGCAAGTACTCATTAAATGTTATTTTCCAGTTTCGTTATTCACTTACTTACTCATTTTTTTTTTTTTTTAGTTCATTCATGCATTTGCTAAATGCTAAGTATTTACTGTACCAGACAGCATGCCTGGGAAGTGCTAGAGATCCAAGTTAGTCAAGACACAATCATGGACCCCCTGTCCCAGCTCTACAGTGTTTCATGGGGGCGAGTAGACAAATAAACAGATGATCTTCCTGCTGGAGACACTTGCTCTGAGGGGCTTGGGGAAGGTGAACGATTGGACAGAGGATGGGCACATGATCCAGACTGGGACAGGAGCTAGGGAAGGCTTCCTGGAGGAGGCACAGCTTACATCTTGTATCTGTGTAAATCCCTGACACCGGGTAGAGCTGGAAGGAGATGCATGCTCTCTGACCTGGTGGCAGGGAACTCAGAACTGTGCACAGAAGCTGCTAGACTTGCAGATCTGCTGCTCGGATCTGGGCTGCGGGTACAGCTCTGACAGACACCATTCCTGAGAAAGGTGGCTCCTGGGATCTCCATGCAGGAGCTTCTCTCGAGGTTCCCTGCTCCCCCGAGAAAGGAGACCTCTGCCCCAAGATGGTGTAGGCTGCCCAGGCAGGAAAGGCTAGAAGGGGGAGGAGGAGAAGAATGATTTAATGCTAAGCAGCTTTAGATGCCTCTTCTCTGCTTCCCTTTCCAGGAAGGAGGCAAAGGACTAAGAAGGTAATGAGCGCAGATAAAATGTGGAAGTGAGGAGCCCAGGCTTGTGAGTTTCCCCTCTCTTCCTGCCGTGGACTTGCTCCCTGCCTCCATCCACCTGATCTGACCTTTTCTGCTCAGTTTTTTGAAAAAAGATTTTATTTATTTATTCGACAGACAGAGATCACAAGTAGGCAGAGAGGAGGAAGAAGGCTCCCCACTGAGCAGAGAGCCCAATGCGGGGCTTGATCCCAGGACCCTGAGATCATGACCTGAGCTGAAGGCAGAGGCTTAACCCACTGAGCCACCCAGGCGCCCCCCTTTTCTGCTCAGTTACTGGTGATGTTTCAGAATCCGCAGATCCTATTGGACGCTGGATATGGGGTGGGGGCAGCAGCTTCTGCAGATCCAAGATGATAGTCTTGGTTTCTGCACAGAGCAGATGGTAGGAACCCGGAGAGGCCTCTGAAGGGAGACTGGCAGGGCCCACTGTTTCCTGTCTGTTCCCTCAGACACTTTTCTCCCTCCACACTCATCCTATGTGTTTGAAATAGTGTCTACCCCAAAATACATTTAACTAAAAATTTTCCAAGTTTATGGCTATCTAATAAGAGCTTCAAATAGGAGAACCTGATTTATGTTGAGTTTTTTGAAATCCTTGTCTGGTGCTTACCAGAAGTGCCATTACTCTGTATAGGCACTTCTAGAAACCACATTCTCCAGGATGGAAAGTCCTGTAGTAAAATGGGATCATTTGACATCTACCAGTGCTGAAGATACAGTAAATGGCCACTAAGAACACAGCAAAAAAGATGATAGTGACATTTTTATGGGATTTTTACCTTGAAAAAATTGGGAGTTCCTTTCATAAAGGCTTTCTTGGAGAATGTGTTTTGTGGCGCTGTTCTGGGAGTTTGGGGGAGGACAGGGATTCCTCTGGAATGTCAGGAGGATCAGAGTAGTAAAGTAGATTCTCTGAGGGCACACGGCCTGTGCCCTCCCTTCTTGTCTGATCCAAACCTCCAGAGCCGGGGAGGAAGGAGCAGCATGGGTGTGTGTGAGATCACAGAGCACAGGGAGTAGGGAGTGTCCAGCAGTAAAGGCAGGGAAACAGAGTCACCGCAGTGGGAGAGCCGATGTGTATTGTTCTGCTACATGGGAGGTGGACTTGGCCCTTGATTGTTGGGCCAGGATTGTTCTAAGTACTAGGTTTGGGCAGCCGGTTCTGGGACAGGAACGGAAGAGTGCTAGAGAGCTCAAGACCCAGGGATGTAAGGTCCATTTTACAAACTGTGTTCTGAATTCTCGCCAATCATGTCACGTTCACTGGAAAACAAACATCTCAGGTGGTGAACAGACTTGCCCAAGTTAAGGGAGCAAGTGACACCCTGGGAATGAAACTCCCATCTCCTCTCAGAGTAGGCTGTGTATCCTGTGTGATCTGGAGGCATGCCTCCCACTCTGTGTGGCTGGTGTGAACTGTCTGGTCATGGTCTCATCACTCCTCATGGACTCTACATCCTCTCCTGGGCCTCCCACTCTGCCCGGCTGGTGTGAACAGTCTGGTCATGGTCTTATCACTCCTCATGGACTCCTACCTCCTCTCCTGGGCCTCCCACTCTACCTGGCTGGTGTGAACAGGCTGATCACGGTCTTATCACTCCTCATGGACTCTGCATCCTCTCCTGGGCCTCCCACTCTGCGCGACTGGTGTGAACTGTCTGGTCACGGTCTCATCACTCCTAATGGACTCTCCCTCCTCTCCTGGGCCTCCCACTCTGCCCAACTGGCTTGAACAGGGTGATCACGGGCTCATCACTCCTCACAGACTCCTACATCCTCTCCTGGGCACCCTTGCTCTCAGGAAGGCCCCTGAGTGATACATGGGGCAGGTTCTCAAAAGCAGCAGGAGAGGACCATCTAGTAGTAAAGGTCTTGAAGTGGGTGAGGGCCCAAGGCTGTGGGCTGGGAAGTCATAAGTCAAGACTGGTAGTGGTGGGTTGTTAAGTGGGGACGTTCTCCACAGAGAAGGACCATCCTATGTTGGGAAGAGGAGGACGGGTGGAATGGAGGACAGGAATGTTTTGATCAGAGAGTATTCTCTGTGTGTATTGACTCTGTCCAAGTGAAAGTGAAAGAAAATTCATGATGTAATGGGAGGACAAAGGGTGTGGGCACAGTGGTTCAGGCAGGGGATTTCCAGCTCAGCTCATGCATAAGCTGGACGCCAGTCCTATTCCTCAGCCTTCTGTGTCTTCTCTGTTGGTTGTAGACATGGCATCTGGCTCTTCCCACCTCCATGTAATCTGGGGTTGAAAAGTGAGGATGGGGAGAGGGAAAGCACCGCCAAGGGTTGGGGAGTGATTTCAGGAATCCACGAGGGACAGAGCTTGGGGAGGTGGGGGCAGAGTGGCTGGGAAGGCATCCTACAGGGCCTGAGACAGGCTCTGATCTCTACAGGAGCTGAGGGAAGGTTCTGGGAATAGAAGTGGCTTGTTTGGCTCCTCAGTGCTCTTCTGTGTCAGGCCCGACCAGCCACTGTTAGGGGAGGATGGTGGGAAGTGGGAGTGGGCTTTGGGCCCACAGGGCTGGATTTGAACCTATGGAAATGTTGTCTGGAGCCCTTTCTCCTCCTTTTGATTAGGGCCCCTGGGCTCTTCAACACCTTCTCCTCCCAAAAGAGAGGTACACAAAACTCCTTCACTCTAAGGTGTTAATGACCAGATCTGTGAGCCTTTAAGGAGCACATGCAGTACATGTGGGCTGGCCTCGGGGGGCTGCTTAGCACAGAGGGGCGTTGGTCCTGTGAGGAAATGTCTGTGATGTCCAGACTGGGAAGATGGTTTTGAATAGAGCAGGAGGGAGGTCCTCCCAGGCTTGCCAGCAACAACACAGGCTGCACTGGCCAGCTTCAGACTATGGAAGGAAGACCTCGATCTGGCCCTACCTTCTGTGAGTGAGGCCCTGGTCTAGCTGCAGGAGACCATATTCTGCAATAGGTAGATAGAAACACACAGGAAGTCCAGGGGAACAAGTCACACTGAACACCGTGTCACCGTAATGTGTGAGTTATTACACGGCTACGGGACAGTAAGAAAGAAATCAGGAGTATGGAGAGTTTGTGTCCTGTCCAGGGTTTCCTTCTAAAGTAGTCATGGAGGGCCGTGCATGAGTTTCCCATGAGCTGACAAGTCTTGATAATTCTCTTTGGGAGCTGTTTTTGGCGTCCAGTATATAACTGTGGGTGCTTCGTAATTGGATTTAGTTTTTGGCATTTGACAACCTTTATCTGGATAGGAGGCATGTGGAGAATGTGGGAGATCACTAATGACATTGGGATGAATGAGAGGTATGGTTGTAAAGGAAAAGAATGATTTTCCTGTGTTATAAGCTTGAAATTCCTAAAGAGAAGTTCCACAAAAGGGAAGGACACAGCCTGTTGTATAGGAGCTGGAGGGCAGGGCCAGGCAAGGAGGGGACAGTGGTGTAAAGATGGCAGGCATTCCAGGCACCTTGATTTGCGGTCTCTTGGCCTTTGTTGTCCAGGTGAAGGTCTATTCTGAGGGAAGGACATTAATGACAGTCACTGCTAACTTGGAGGACAGAGTGAGGAAGATCAACAAACGTGTCCGGGCTAAAACCAAGATCCCATGCAGGACTGTTGCTGGGCTCCAAGATGCTGAAGCCCCAGAGGAAGCTGTCGTCTCACGGCATTGACAAGGATATGACTGTCCACCTCACTCTGAAGGTGGTGATGCCCAGTGATGAGGAGCTGCCGGTGTCTCTGGTGCAGTCACGTGATGGGGGACAGAGGCACCTCCTCCAGGTGCGAAGGTCCAGCTCAGTGGCCCAGGTGAAACAGATGATCGAGACTAAGACCACGATCGCACCTGAGCAACAGATTGTGACTTGCAATGGCAAGAGGCTTGAAGACGGGAAGACCGTGGTGGATTACGGCATCAGACGGGCACTTCACTCTAGCTGGCAGACTACTGCATTGGGGGGTGAGCCTGCTGTTAGCTCCTACTCTTCCCACATCCTTTGATGATTTCCCCAAATGAATGAGAAAGAGAAATAGGGAAAGTTAGGGGTTAAGTGGGAAGGAAGACTGCAGAAAACTTTCTAACTCCATGATTTTTTGATCGAACACAATTGATTAGGTGTCTGGGTTGTGTATATTACTGAAAATAGAAAATAGTATTTTAAGTCACAGTAGAGATAGCCTCCAAGCCAGCTTGCAATTTAATCCTCTCCCTCGTTCTTCTGATTTTTAGAAAAATTCCTATTTCTTCTTCTGCCCAACAAGATAGTAAGTTTCGCATTGGGATCCATGTTCCCCTACTTTCTGTGTTCCCACCGATACATTTTATCTGTAATATCACTCAATGTGTTGAATTAAATTGAATTTCTGCTTGTAGAGAACAGTGAAATGATTTATATTGAAGTGTGTTAATTCCTCTGATATGATTATAATCTAAGTAATAAAGAATTTAGAAATTCAACTAAACCACCTTCTCTGTCCTTATTTAACGTTGTTTGGCAGGAAATGAGTCCCAGCACGGTGTGCCATCATACTCTCTACGCCCCACTGCGAATTCAGCTGTTCTTATTTCTGGAGATGATGGTGGGCGTGGGAAGACACCTCTCCTGGGTACTCAGAGATTTTGTTCTCCAGTGGGGGGGGTCCCTGGGGGAGGTGTGGTCATGGAGCCATCTCTGTCCTGCCTGTGTTAGGGTCTAGTGGGTCTTCTCTGGGGCGGGGGTATGGTTTGGGTGCGGGCTTGCGATTGGTCTCCGGTTGACTCCCAAGGTTGTGCCCAGGTCCTGGCTGACAGAGCCTTTTCCTGGCTGCCTCCTGCACCCCCCACCCGTGTCTGGTCCTCCCTGGGGCATGTGGGTCTCTTCCTCCATCTTCTTCCCTCACTCACTCCTTTGTCTCACCGTCCCTCTTGTGTCTCATGACTGGTCAAGAACACATTTTCGACACCATCTAAGACATGTCTAGTCCCTTCTGCTCTTTAAACTTGCTCAAGAACCACCTTGTGCAGACGAGATCCCAGCTGAACTCCAGCGGCACAACCCCTACTTAGGGGAATTCCTTGTTCCGCTTTGGGCTCCAGTGCTCTTGGTGGCACTAGTGACCTGGTTAGGTGGGCATTAGGTTGGACTGATTTCCCTGGACGAGCGACTGTGGCTCCTTGTTTTGGATGGGTCTCCGGGTAGAGTCTGGGATTTCTCTGTCAACTTGGGGGACTCCTGAGGCCAGACACTGTGGGGTCTTCACGGTGTGCGCCATCAGACTGGGGAGAGGGAACGTTAGTTGTCCTGTCGTACAGGATCTTGCCAGCGTATGGACTCTCTGGGCGTTGTCACTGGACCCCTGAGGATGGGGAAGTTCCTCTCGAAATCATGCCCTCTCTCTTCTTCAGCTTAAGAGAGAGCCAGAAGGCCACTTCCCCTCCCTGAACCTGTATATGCAGCATAGAGGGATTTGTCCAGAAGCAGAGGAATCTCCCTGGGGGAGGATGGGGCCTCCCCAAGGACCTCAGACTCCCTGAGGACACATCTTGCCGATTCTCACAGGGAAATGGACAGGCTGAGGGCTCGCTGCCTTCCCAATGGACATTCCCATCCGTGGGCCCGGGGCTCACCCTTTCTTCCCTCTCCCGCCCCGCACTCACCGTCCAGCCTGCCCTCTCCCCACACTGCCCAGGAGCTTCCTGGCTGCCCCCTTCGCTTCCTTGTTCCTGAGGGTGTAGATGAGCGGGTTGAGGGCCGGGGTGACCACGGTGTAGAAGAGCAAAGCGAACTTGCCCCGCCCCTGGTCGTAGCGGCGCGTGGGCTGTAGGTAGGTGTAGATGGCCGAGCCGTAGAAGAGGCAGACGGCGGTCAGGTGGGACCCGCACGTGCCCAGCGCTTTCCTGCGGCCGCCCCGGGACCGCATGCCGCAGATGGCGCGGGCCCCGGCGCCGACGAGGCCAGGATGACGGCGGACGGCAGCAGCAGGATGACCACGCGCGCAGCGAACATCCGGCGCTCGGTGGCGTCGCGGCCGCCACCACAGGCCAGCTGCAGCAGCGCGGGGAGCTCGCAGATGAAGTGGTCCAGCCGGTGGGGTGCGCACAGCGGCCGTGCGGCCAGGAGCGCGCTCTGCGCGGCGGAGTTGGCCAGGCCGCCCAGCCAGGCGGCGCAGGCCGGCGCGCGGCATCGGCGCGGGGAGGCGAGCTCGGCGTGGCACAGCGGGTGCACGACGGCGGCCGCGCGGTCCAGCGCCGTCACCGCCAGCAGCAGGCACTCGACGTAGCCCAGCGCCAGCGACGCGCACAGCTGGGCCAGGCAGCCCGCGCGGGGCAGCCACAGCTCCGCGCCGCACAGGCTGGCCAGCAGCGCGGGCGCCACGCTCGTGGTGAAGCCCGCGTCCACCAGCGCCAGGTGGCACAGGAAGTAGTACATGGGTGTGTGCAGGCGCGGGTCGCGCACGGCCAGCAGCACGAGGGTCGAGTTGCCCGCCAGGGTCAGGAGGTAGCAGAGCAGGACGAGGGCGAAGAGGGCGGGCTGCAGCGCGGGCCAGTCGGAGAAACCCAGCAGGAGGAAGCGCTCCTCGGTGCTGTGGTTGGCCTGCGGGAGGAAACTCCCAGAGTGTTTGGAAGGAGGCTGAGCGAAAGGGTGAGTTTACCTCCTGGGAGCTAAAGAGAGCCTGGCTGGGGACGTGGCTGTTGGGGAGCTGGATGGGAGCGGGAGCGAGGGGTGCGGGGGTGGGGTGGGCGGGGGATCCAATGGGGGCGAGCGGAGCGCACCTCTCTCTCTCAATTACAGACCGGAGCCCTGGCTTTGGGAAGCTAGCCCTACCTCAGTACAGCTTGGCTGATGAATTATTTAGCAGACACTTTCGGGGAGAAAGAATTTCCACTTTGTGGAAGAACCGACTTAGACTGGGAGAAGGAAGATTGCCCAAGGTCACAGCTAGAGAGTGGCCCTGTGGGGCTTGTAGTTGGCCTTGTCTCCTTTCCAAATCCGTGCTTTTTCTGTTCCTTGCTGGCTTCTGACTGCGGGCCAAAGTAGACATCTAATCTTCCTCCCATAGATTAGTTCTTCAGATACTGGAAGAGATTCCCCCCTGAGCCTCTCTCCCCTCCTTCCAAAGTGTGTAGCGCCTGTGAGTAAGTGCAGTGCCCTAGGCTTGGTAGAGCTGTTACTTGGGAGATTAGAACCGTCTATCGCCTTCTTTGTTTCAGGGATTCTACTGAGAATACAACCATTAGCTGCTGACTACTGAGTGCTGCTCTTCTAGGCTGTCACCAGTGTCCATGCCCCTCTGGCTTCTCCCTAGTGTGATGGTCATGATCTGGGGGCCTTGAAACCCAGAGTCCTCTGGCAGAACATGAAGCTAGAACCCAGGAGCCCTGGGTCCCACCAGCGTAATTGCCTTGGGCCAGTTGGATTATTTGATATGGAGAAGTCACTGCCTTTCCCTTTGCCTTCGTGTTTCCATGTGTAAGAGGAGGAGTCTGACCTAGATGATCTCCAGGGCTCCTGTCTTATCACCTGGCTCTCACTGCAAAAAAAAAATTGTCATTTGAATAAAAGGGGACCCAACACAGAAGCCTTTAACCCTGAAGAGGTTAAAGGTACAGAAACCATACAGTAGAGGCGATGACTAAATGTTACAGCAAAATCTCACTCCTGCACATTCTTGGCAGGTGTGTGGAGATAGATAAACTTCATAGTCACTATTCTGAGTTTAAAAATCATGATCCCCTAATTTTCTTTAAAATATTTCAGGAAAGATCTCTTTTCCCCCCAGAGAATGTTGTGCTTATAGGGATCCATTTATGCTCAAGAGACAGAACAGGTGTTCATGCTGTGAGTCAGAGCAAGGGTGGGGGGATCAGACTGCCCGAGCTCCAGTCTCGGCTCTGCCATTTCCCAGTGGAACGACCCTGGGCACGTGGCTTCACTTGTCCATGGCTCCGTGTCCTCACTTGAAAGCGGACTTGGTGGAGGGTTGAAGCATGGAGAGCTCTTAGTACAGGCACGGGACCGAGTGTGTGTTTAGTAAGTGCTCGCTCTTACCATCCACACGCGCGTCAGTGGGGCGCTCCCACACCAGTTAGGGCCAGAGCCAGCTGTGAGTTTAGGTCATTTTATTGATGAACTCTGGTCTTTACTCACCTGGAAGTGAGGCAATACTCCTGTTCTAAGAGGAAGGTAGGCGGCGGGCTGAGGTTAAATAACTCGCTCAGGCCACACTGTTTGTTAATGCTTGTCAGGATTTCACCCGAATCTCACTAATTCCAAGAGCCTTGCTTTATATCTGTGCACATATCTTTAAGCCAGGCTCTACTCTGCCAGAGGCTGTGGAGGATAGAAGGACATGCGAACCCTAAGCTCGCTGCAGAGCACTGGGGCCATCGGGGAGAGGAATACAGGCAAGAGCTGACATTCAGGCTGATGGCCCAATGGTGCTAGAGATGTTGTTCTAGAGAGTCCAGATTTCTAATTCTGAGATCATGTAGACACACACCCATTCATCCAGCCAATCCCTGAACAGTTCCCCTCTAGACACGCCAAACCCTGAAATCAGAGACAGAACAATAAAATCGCACAGCCAACACCTGTACCCCATGGACACACACATTCCCAAATACTCAGACACATATGTGCACATACATGTCCCCTCATCACTCCCCTGAAGCTTCCAGAGGCAAATCTGTTGTAAAAATATTCTAGGATGTGTCCCCAAACCTCATTCAGTATTCTAGAATGTGCATGTCATCTGCAGGACCATCTACCTACCTTCATGTCTGGGTCTCTGGCACTGATGTTCCACCCTTCGTTTCCAGATGATCAGTTGGTCTGTTGTGTGTTGTGCTCCGGATCCTCAGAGTTGGAAATGGCTGTGGGAGGGGGGGATGAAAGAGCGAATGGCATGACTGTTGATTTCGAGAATGGGTGCCTGAGGTCAGAGCCAGGTCCTTCCTTCAGGAACAGGACACGGGGTGGCAAGCCCCTTGCTCGTCAGCCGAGGAGTGAACATAAGGTCTT